GTCCATGAAGAATGTTCTTCCGTATCTGCTTTGGAAGCTCAATTGTCTGAAATGCATGAATTTTCAATAGCTGCTGATGTTGGACTTACTTTCACAAAAACTCAATATGAGACCAGGATTGAAGAAATAGGAAGGTGTAACCTGACAATAGCAGCATTGTCAGAGGAAAAAGAAGCTTTGATGATGTCCTTACAGGATAAAACTGAAGAATCTTCCAAGCTTGCTCAGGAGCTTAAATATTTGCAAGGAAGTTTGCTCTCTTTGCATGATGAGTTGCAAATTGAGAGAAATCTCAGAGATAAGTTAGAGAGTGCAATTACAGATCTCACTTCCCAATTGAACGAGAAGCATTGCCAGCTGCTTGGTTTTGATCAGCAAAAGGCTGAGCTTGTCCATCTCAAACAATTGGTATCCGATCTAGAACTAGAGAAATCGAGAGTTTCCCGTCTCTTGTTTGACTCTGAGGAATGTCTAAAAGATGTCCGTCAAGAATGTTCCTTCATATCTGCTCTGGAAGCTCAATTGTCTGAAATGCATGAGTTTTCAATAGCTGCTGATGTTGGACTCACTTTCACAAAAACTCAATTTGAGACCAAGATTGAAGAACTAGGAAGGTGTAACCTGACCATAGCAGCATTGTCAGAGGAGAAAGAAGCTTTGATGGTGTCCTTACATGATAAAACTGAAGAATCTTCCAAGCTTGTTCTGAAGCTTAATAGTTTGCAAGGAAGTTTGTTCTCTTTGCATGACGAGTTGCAAATTGAGAGCAATCTCAGAGATAAGTTAGAGGGTACAATTACAGATCTCACTTACCAATTGAACGACAAGAACAACCAGTTACTAGATTTTGATCACCAGAAGGCTGAGCTGGTCCACCTCAAACAATTGGTATCAGACCTAGAGCTTGAGAAATCCAGAGTTCTCCGTCTCCTGTTGGATTCTGAGGAATGTCTGAAAGATGTTCGTGAAGAATGCTCTTCCATATCAGCTTTGGAAGCTCAGTTATCTGAAATGCATGAATTTTCAATAGCTGCTGATGTTGGACTCACTTTTGCAAAGACTCAATATAAGGCCATGATCGAAGAGCTTGACCAGAAACTTCAGTTTTCAGATAGCCATGTTTCCGAGCTTTGTAACGATCACCTCAATGTAGAGAATATGCTTAATAAATGTCTTGCTAGCGAAAGGCATTACCTTGAAGAGAACACCAAATTGATGGCAAGTCTCAGTTCCCTTAAATCTGAGTTGGAAGCCTCCAGTGCTCAAAATAGGATACTTCTTGATACAAACAGTGCCATGAGGACTGAACTTGAGGAATACAAGAAAAGAGCAGAAAATGTGGAGGGTGTTGTCCACGTGGATAATAGTCAGTCTGCTCTTGAGATCGAAAGGCTGGAGTATACTTTGATGACTTCTGAAGAAGAGATTGATAACCTGATATTCTCCAAGGAAGCACTAGAAGTCAATGTTTTAGTACTCAAAGCCAAGTTGAATGAACAGTGCGCTGAGATAACCTTGCTGGAAGGATATAAAGATGAATTGATAATGTTGCGCAATAAATGTGGCGAGCTTACACAGAGGCTTGCTGAACAGGTTTTGAAGACAGAAGAGTTTAAGAACTTGTCCATCCATTTTAAGGAGCTTAAAGACAAGGCTTATGCTGAGGGTCTCCATGCACATGATAAAAGAGAACCAGAAGGGCCGCCAGTTGCCATGCAAGAGTCCTTAAGAATTGCATTCATCAAAGAGCAGTATGAAACCAAGCTGCAAGAACTGAAACAACAGCTTGCTATGTGCAAGAAGCATAGTGAGGAGATGCTCATGAAATTACAAGATGCAATCAACGAAGTTGAGAACAGGAAGAGATCTGAAGCTACTCATGTAAAGAGAAATGAAGAGCTAGGAATGAGGATCTTGGAATTGGAGTCTGACCTACATTCAGCGCTTTCTGAAAAGCGTGAAATAATGAAAGCCTATGACCTGATGAAGGCTGAAAAGGAATGCTCATTAATAAGCCTTGAGTGCTGTAAGGAAGAAAAACAACAACTTGAAGCGTCTTTGCAAAAGTGCAATGAGGAAATGGCTAAAATTGCTTTAGAACTCACCTCAACGAAGGATTTGCTTGAGAGTTCTTCAGCTTCTATAAATAATCAGAGGGAAGGCAATGGCAGTTTACACAAAGCAGATTACATGTCTGATGATCCGGTTGTTGAAAAAGTTCGCCACAAGAAATTGACATCTGGCGTGCAAAGCAGCATGGTAAGAGAGGACCCGTTAGCTAAGTTTTCTGAGCTAGATTTAGCGAATTGTGAAGCAGCTGATCCTGAATGCTTGAATTCCATTGATGAAGTAGACCAATCAAATGGACTCATCAATATACACTCTGAGCAGGTACTTAACTGTTTTAATCTCTATATAGAGAAAGTTATTCCATTGATACTCTAATTTGTGCAACTATGTAGCATCAGCATGCTTATGTTAGCTTATACACATTCTGGATATTTCACTTTTCTCCATTAAGATTCTGGAAAAGTGAACAAGAATTCCTTTTTCATACTGCCCTCAGGTAAAAAGATGCTTTTAGTTTGCTATACTTATCTGCTTTTTTCCATCATAGAGAGTTTGATGGTGCTCCTAAAGGGTATAGTTCCTACTAATACTAGTTGACAGCTTGACATTACCTTAGTGAGTTGCTGCTCCAAATATTACCAAACTTATTAGCATATCTATTTCGTAGTGCTAGCCTTTGCTTGCGCAATACCGACCCCCCTGCTATCACGTTAAACAAGTTTCCTGGGAAATACCACCACAGAGTGAAGTAGACAGTGGCTAATATATTTGGTTGGTACTACCAGTTACTGGGGTTTAAACTCCTTGATCACCATTAATGTTGTCAACTTTTCCATGAAAAACTGCTGAAATCTAAGTACAGAAGAAATCCTATAATAAGTCAATCAAAATAATATAAGTTTGATCTATGGAGTGTGACCACACAAGTGGTGGTGAATGTGTTATCTTTCGTAGCTTGTATTTTCAAAACTTGAAAGTTCATCCTATTCCTTTAGCAGAGGAATAGGATTGTTCACAATTGTCAAAGAAAAGGTTTACTTTATTTCATTTTTCCAAGTTATGTACTCTTTTATTCTCTATCTTGAAATTTTGGTATCTGACAATCAATGTGCTTCATTGGACAGGATGATCTTGTATCCAGAGGTGTAAATGGTATCCCTAGTGTTGTACCTTCAAAACAAAAGGATGTTCTTAATAGTGACATGAAGCATTTGGTTCTTGCCAATGAGCATTTTAAGGCCCAAAGCTTAAAGTCTTGCATGGACAACTTAAATAAGGAGGTACGTATTTCATATATAGACAAGTGAGCAGATTCTTTGGTATTGCTACAGTATCATTATCTATGGTTGGAGAGCAGGGACTATGGATTAAAAGTTATCATCATCGTCAGTTACAGATTCTAGGTCCTGACATAAACTTATTTTTTTTTCATGACAGATCTTTTCTAACCCGTGTTATCTTCTTGCAGTTGGAAAGGATGAAACATGAAAATTTGCTTCTTCCCCTTGATGATCATCATTTTGACCCAAAATTTTCTGGTGTACAAAGAGAGCTGATGCAATTAAATAAGGTAAATAACTTTATGATGCTTACACCTTACATTATAAGCGTGTCCTTGAACTGACATCATATTTGGCTTTTTGATTAGGTAAATGAAGAATTGGGAAGTATATTTCCCTTATTCAACGAATTTTCTTGCAGTGGCAATGCACTAGAGAGGGTGCTCGCATTGGAAGTTGAACTTGCTGAAGCATTGCAGGCAAAGAAGAAATCAACTTTCCAGTTTCAGAGGTACATCTTATACAACTCTGACTGACCCTTTCAAACTGGCATTATGTGGGCATTCTTGGGAGAAGACATCATATTGTCTCTTTTTATCTCTCCTCCTGAAGCTTGGCTGCGGTAATTTTAAAATGTGTTACTTTTAGGGGAACGGGTGGTTCACTTTAAAAATTAGCAGAACAAACCAACTTCTTATGAGGTTAACAATTAACTTGAAATCCTCCTGTGTTCCAGTTCTTTCGTGAAACAACACAGTGATGAGGAAGCAGTGTTTCACAGCTTTAGAGACATCAATGAGCTAATTAAAGACATGCTGGACCTTAAGGGAAGATATGCTACTGTGGAAACAGAACTGAAAGAGATGCATGATCGTTACTCTCAGTTAAGCCTTCAATTTGCAGAGGTTGAAGGAGAGAGACAAAAGCTAATGATGACTCTCAAGAATGTTCGAGCGTCAAAGAAATCCCCATACTTAAATCGCTCCTCAACATCCCCATTTCTGGACCCTTCATAATAGTCACCAAGCCATCCTATCTTGTGCGTGAAGATGAAGAAATAGCCATTTACCAGGTTAAGAAATTGATGGTCCAACTGCCATGCTGCCTCATGTCATCATGTATGTCCAAGGTGGATTATGCATGGGCCACTTGGCTGTTAGTGGTGAAACTTTACAATGCTGGAATGCGGTATCAAAAGCTAAGCTGCAGCAGTGTATATAAACTCTCTGGTCAATAGTTTCACAAGTACATAATTGACCCTTTTTGGGGGGTTGAGGGGGGCGGGGGTGAATTGTTGTAAGCTATTCTGCTGTATAGTAAATCAAATTATTTTTTGTAATTTATATTTAATATCGTCAAGGAAAAAAATATATAACTTCTTCCCATACATCCCTTCTAACTTCCAATTTCAGTTGGGTGGAATTTGGCAATTTCATCTTGTTCTCCTGGTGCTTGGGTGTTGGAAAGGTTTGTCCAAGCCCTGTGCTCAACAGGGGTTTCATCATTTTATGGTTTAAAAGGCCTCGGGTGTAATTTGGCGCTTGCAATAATATGCAGACCAAGAAAACATACAGTAATAATATACGCGTATTCTTCTACCAATTTAAATAATAATAATAATAAAGAAAGAGAAATTCTGCTTACAATATACTCGCAAATCAATCAAATTAATTAAGGTCGTTTGATGTTTTTTCTTTTACACTTGTATTCATTCATGAAAATAAATCAGAGGCTCCCAACGCAACAATGTGGTCCTTTTCTCATTAACAAATCATATGCAATAAGGAACTATAAGCTGTTTTACATACGGAGGGAGACAACAAGATTCAAAGTAACAAAAGTCTGGCTGATGGATCCATGAACTTCTTGCTGCCACTTGTGAAAGGGAACTTAGATTGTTAACAGCATCTCATCGTCGGCAACAAATGAAAAGACACAGAATGACACTAACAGACTGAGGAAGCTTTCTCAAGCTTGTTAAGAGAAGCTACAATATTGAACATGAACATCGAGGCTTCTCTGGAGAATCATTCAGCAATTTATCTGTGGAAAATGCAACCATTAGTTCCTTGTGTCTGAAACTGCTTTCCTCTGTTTGGGTAACATAACTTTAACATAAGCATTATATAACGTAAATGTGAAAGTGTCTTATATTGTGACTTTCATAGTTTTTTTGCTACCCAGAATTTCAAGTTCCATAATCTCATCTCCTAATAATGATTGAAAAGAAGGGGCAATATAGTTTTCTTTGAAAGTCAGAGCTTCTAACGAAAGAATGATATAGAACACAGGGAAAACTTAAGAATGGACTATATACAAAGCCAATTTCAAGGGAGAGAAGGACCGGAAATTCAGATAAGGAACAAGCATACAAAATAAATATACAAATATAGAAAAAATAAATAAGAACCTCTTATGCTTTACAGGATGAAGCTATTACAAAAGACTTGATCTAATGCTTTCAGCTCCCTATTATATTGCAATGTTATTAAAAGTTGTACTTCTGAGAACTAGCATGGAAGATTAATTTTGGCTCAACACTGAATCCAGATTTTTAGCATGCGTGCTGAGGGTCAAGATATGGTGAGGCAATCAGAAGCAAGAAGACCTTGATGCTTATTGCTCAGAAGGAGATGGAATCATAAGAGATTGATGCATAAGAACCATGCCTCTTAACTAAAATATATTTGGAATTCAGGGGCAAAGGTTCATCAAAAGAGCCAAATATGTTAAATACCTCGGGGTAGAGACTAATAAAAACAACGAATTCGCCAAAGAGCATGTTGTTCTATAAGATATATGCAACATATGTCTAGTAAATAGAAACATAATTACCATTCTTTTTGTCTGCAATAGGAGGACGCACAACCACATGCATAGTGATGAGACCTCCTGGTAGTTCACCGACTGGAAGTCTGGAATCAGCTAGGGTCCTGTTGTTTTCCAGTATCTTTCCCGCATTAATAAGCTTCAAATCATTTATTGTCCTCGGACCATTTTCTTTCTCTATCAAATAGATATTGCATAGCATGAGAAAACATGAGTCAATTTCAAACCAAAACACAATGGTGTGATCATGGAGCAAACTAAGCATCATTATTTTCGTCAAAATATAGGCTTTGTCCTCTTTCAATATTCCTGTTTTGATTGGTGCCAACATCAGCAACACATATGAAACAAGGGTTCTAATGCAGTACCATAAACAACTACATTGATAACATTATTCCTAAATGTGTGACTAACTTGAGCATACACTTCTTGAGAACGACTCAGAACTGTGTCATAATTCATTTTCGGCATATTCAGACTATATCTACAATGAAGGACAGAGTGGGAGCCTCAACTTACTTGGACAAGGTACTACAGATAATGATAAGAGCAACGAAAAATTTACTAACAGAATTTTCAATACTCAAACCCATATATTTGGACTTCAATTCGTACAGTATCCAATACATTGTTTCCAATCAAAATTGCTAAAATGGTCTAAGAAGATTCAAAGTACACAACACCACCTAAAGCTGTGATAAGCTTAATGAGAAAGCTTGATGCAAAAAGCTCTCAAGAAGCCAACCTAATCATATAAAAAGCAAAAGAACCTCAATAACATATATAAGTTTTGCAAAAATATGACGAGAAAAAAAAAAACAGAACTTTAACAGAAGAGTAAGCTGAAAAGAAATAAAACCTTTAGGCCATTGTGCAAGTATTTTCTCTTTAAGTGATTGTACAGTGGTAGATGGGCTATACTTGTGTGGACCTATGTCGGTGCCATCAGATAGCCTGAATTTGAGCTCAATCAAATCTTGACCTGCTGCCATTGATGAACCTTCCAGCGAAAACCCACCTCAAATTCGCATAACACTCTCCAAAAATCAGATTGAGTTCCACAACAGAGAAAACCAAATAAAACCCAGATGAAATCTGGTAAAGATTCAAACTTGGAACCCAGAAGAGCAAAGAGCTCGGATACCCATGAAAGAATCAAGCTCTATCCAAAAGGTTTGTATTGAACTTGGAGTTTACACTGAAAAAGATCCAAAGTCTTGTTATGGAAACCCAAAAACAGTGACTACTTATAAATCTATGAAATCAATCCAAAGAGAGAAGAAGACAATCCAAGGAGAGAAGAGGACAGCTCCTTTTTATTGCTTGATGTAGAAATTAAGAAAGTAGAAAAAGTGTACCCAAAACGATCTGAGTGAGATTTTTCACCTGAATTAACAGAAATTTCCAGCCGTAAAGAATGTGATTACATAATTGCCCATGGCCTATAATCATATTAACGAAATTACAAAGACATTTTTATGACTTATCTTTGGCTTTTGGCAAATAATAGTTGTCATGACCTAGAAGAAAGGACAATAAGATGGCTAATATGATGTAAGAATTACGTAATTATGAAGTTTTTTTTTGGACAAATATGTAATTATGAAGTTAAACTAACAGAGTACTCTTTTGGATTAAAAAAAAAAAAAAACTTCAAAATAATCAGATCTTAAGATTTTTTAAACTTCTTTTTGTTAACGACTTGATTCGAATTTAGAACATTTTTCAATATTATAACCAGAAATTAATTAAGATGTTCAACTTTAGATTTATTATTAACATATTGAATGATAAGGATGATACCTAAGAAAATAATGCATTCGCCTTTCCACCAATATTTTTTAGTACTGATTTTTTCATTCCCTTTTTATCCACTTACACTTCATTTTTTTTAAAAATTGTATGTTCTCACTCCTTTTTTGTTTACTTACACTCTCTTTTATCTTATAGTAAAATGTATTAAAAAAACAAAAAGGAGTGTAGATGGATAAAAGGAGAGTGGGAAAATCACCACCCATATTTTTTTCCTGGCTAGATACAGCCAAAAGTGTAGATTTTTCTCCTTAGCCATTAGAAAGTTTAAGAATTGCTATGCATACTTAGATTAATGTGAAATAAAATAATAGAAAGTTTAAGAATTTCTTAGATTAACGATAAATATAATGCCTGCATGTCAAGTTTGAAAATTTATTAAGGGAGATTCACTATTATACTCAATATAGGGGCCCAAATTATTATAAAAAAAACATATATGAAATGGACTTTAGAAACATATCCAAATTTCATTTACAACATAACAAAGAGACTTTTAACTTCTTATAAATTGCAAACCTGCCATCAATTTCTTAAAACAAGCCTAATCCCAAAACCTCATAAAAAAAACCCAAAACACTCAATAAAGCATCAAAGTAATTTAATAATCAAAATTAAATTCAATAAGGTCAGCTGTTATTTTTTGGGTTTGTTTATAGAGATTAAATGATGTATGGTTTATTTATATCATTAGTGTTAATAATGGATATATGACTAAATATCTATTTTATTAGTCCTGTTATAGTTTTTTTTTTTTTTTTTCCTTTAATGTCCTTTTATTAGGTGTATATTTATTTGTAAGTTGAAGTGGTGGTGGTGGTGGTACAAAAGCAGGCCACTTGCTTCTGCTGAGCATGGTTTGTCTGGTTGGTTTGGATGTTAGTGTGTGCCCAAGTCTGTTTTTAAACATAATTAACTCTATGGGTTGGCAACTTGGCATGGCACCATATTTTTTAAACATGTTTTAAGAAACTATGATTCTTCATTTCATTAATTTGACGTAGGTGAATCTGCCTCCACTTTTAATTATATATAATATAATATAAAAAAGAGATGATGGAAATTTTTGATAATGGGGAATTAGAATCATGCATACTTTTGAAGAAAATAATAAGCATAGAATTTTCTGGATATGACTTGGTTAATGGAAGCATCTAATTTAATTTTGCTACACCTTTTTTGTCGTGTTGTTTTTGAATTAGTCACACTACTGTACCGATCGAATCAAAGTCATGAAAGGCAACCACCAGGATTAATTTGTAACAAACAAAAACATCCACCACCCAAAAAAGAGAAGAAAGAAAAAAGAAGAAGAAAAGTTTTCTAGGGCAGCTACCATTTTGAAACATTCAAAATTAAGGTAACAAATGATTAGGACTTGAAATTGATAGTTAATATGACTAATCCCACATGAAGAAGTCGTCAATCTAATCCATGTTCCATACCGTGTTCAATAGATATTTCTTTGAAATTTGTCGCAGCCACAAATTTAAAAGGAGGGAGGGATCAGATCATTTGATACAATCTGTAATTACTTTTTCTGTTTAGGATTTGCTTAGAATCTTCTCATCCTAGGCTATATTGCTAGTAGGACAATGTTCATATCCAACTGATTTGATTGCAGTTAGCGCTAGCACTAAAAAAGGCGTAATGCTCAAGGAAATAACTTTCATGTTACACATACAATGTATACAAATTTATAAATAAACCCAATCCTAAACATGTATTTATAAAAAAACCCAAGCACTATTTAAACATAGAAACACACCCAAAATCAACCCCAAAGTCAATTTTTTGGGTGTGTTTATAAATGAGTTTTGAGTGTGTGTAATGATGGGTTTTGGGTGTGTTTATATATTTAAATAGTGCTTGGATTTTTTTATAATTTCAACTCCCATTTTGGGTGTTTTAGTGAAACTCCCTACAATGTATCCTCGTGCCTATCTCATTCTTCATGTGGTGAAATACTAAGGGAATAACTTCTGTATCTATCTCATTCCTCCTATGAGAGGTAAGACATGCACAAAGGAGTGAGATAAGGACAAATGTGACGATGAGGTGTGAGATAAGAAAACAGGAAACACAAAAAGAAGGTAGTACGGATATCAAGCATTAGAAGAACAAGAAATAGTGCTCACCAATGGAGTCCGGACTCTTGAATTTCACAACCTCTCAATTTTATGATATTGCGTAGAATCAGTATTATCACCCTCACAAATGAAATGTCAACCAGACAACTTGTACGTTGGCTTTAATCACAAAGCAATTCCCTGTGATTTTATTGGAAGCTGATGTCTGCTCAAAATATCTGTTTCCATATTCAATTTCTGCATTATAGTCTCAGGGAACCAAATCTTATGCATAATTGCATAGGTACAGGATGAAAATGATCTGCTCACATGGTTTGCTGCCCCAAAACCTTTTCTTCTCTTTTTCCCATTTTTATTTAACCAGTCACTGTTCCCCTGTTGAAATTGAACCAATTATATCCTCTTGTGAACCCATTTTCTTTCAACAGAAGAAACTCAATTTTAATTTCGCAAACATAGTTGCTCATTACTAGTACTGAAGTGGTAGACAAAGAAATCACAAATAGAAAATATGCTCAGAAGTGATGCACCAAGCAAGTGCAGCAACTGTCTATTTGATTTTCATTTTTACAAATAATACGTATACAATACAACTATGTTTAATCACACTTACATGATACATTAACTTTCCTTTCAACCGAGATATATGATCGCGCCAATGGACATCTAAATAAGATAATCAAATCTTGAAGCTACATTATTCTTAGAATTGCTCATACATATATACTATAACTATAGCCTACCAGAACTGTTTCCCAGGTGCTGAGCTCCTTCTAAACTATGAAATCAATCTCCGCGCCATACAGCTCACTCATATAGATTCAAAGAGCCCATTGAATAACATGGATTCTCAGCCTTATGCTAAACGTCAATGACTTGACAACCAACCAATTCAACTGACCCAAAATCCCTAGTGCCAATGGCCTTCCACACAACTGCATCTGATTCTGCCACTGAGTCAGAATGATCAAGTGAGAAGCCAGGTAAGAGAGAAGGTGAGCTTGGTGACAAAGGCCCCAAATTACTGCACAGGTCAGCCTGCAGAACTGTGATTTCATGATTTACATCTTTTGTGATGACATGAAGCTTTCCATGAAAACCAGCAAGTAAATATGGAGATTCTGAACCAGCAAAGTCATGAATAGGGACTTTTCCTATAACAACTTTCCAAGCATCTTCTCCTTGATCATACACCTTGATCTTACCACTATCCAAAGAACTCGAAGGATCAAATGCATACAATTCACCATCAACCACAACGCTCAACTTTGTACCCACTTGCCGAGCAGGCCAACCCTCTCCCATGCCAATTGGCATATCATCCCATGAATTTGTCTCAGGATCATAAATTTCTCCCCCAACATCAACAAAAAAGGGCCATGAGTACAGACTCTGGGATACACATAACCTTCCCATGTATGAAGTCAACCCAGTGGCAATTGGCCTTAGCATGTCAGTCAAAAAGGCAGTGGGCAAGGCTTGAGCTCTTGAGAATGGCATGCTTGGTACTTGGGACCATGTACCAGTGGAGGGCTCAAAAACTTCGGCAGACTGAAGAGGGATCAATCCACCTCGTCCTCGACTAACCCCTCCAACAACATAGAGCTTGTTATTCAGAATGCCTGTCTTACAATAGGCCCTACTTGCGGACATGGCTCTCACTTCACTCCATGCGTTCTGAATAGGATCAAATCTCCAGACGCACCTCATGGTCGTAGATCTATAAAATCCACCTAGAACATAGAGGCATCCATCAACAGCACCAATGGCACAACCACAAAATGGCATTTGATCAAATGAATTCTTTCTCCCTAGCCAGCCTCTAATAGTATCAGCAATTTTGATGGTTGGGCCCACCATATTCAACATCCAAAACCAAGACAAACCCTTACTAGATTCTTCTTCATAAACTACATTGGGCATCTGAGGTAGCCTCAGCCACTTTGTTGACAGGGGGTCAAAAGCATGCCAGGAAAGTTTATCCTCTTCAATTTTAGTCAACATGTATAGCCATTCTTCAGTTCTACCAAGTTCTTTTCGCAATTTAAATAGTTCAGAGCTCCTAACAGTTTCCTTCCACTTCCGTGAAACCAGCCTGATATCAAAGTAGCAAATTCTAGGAAGTCTAGCAATAATTTGGATTGATATCTCATCAGGAAGATTGGGAATTAATCTTTGTCTCTCCTCGAAAGCACATGATGACAATCTTTGCCTCTTACAGGTATCATTCGGAGAGACTTCATGGTACTCATTTGTCCGAGATCTGGGACCAACCAAACTCAAAATACCCCCCATTGAGAAACCAGAAAGTTAAGTAAATCTGAGAGACATCATGAAACTTGTTAGTCCCAGACTTGGAACCAGTCAAACTAAAAAACAACCCCATATTTGAATTTAGCCCCAGGGCTGCATAACTATTCATTCTACTTTCAGTTCATCAATGCCAAAGCTAATTTGACCACACACACAGCAGCCGACTTGGACCAGCCAAACTGAAAAATTGACACCATTTTTTGCTTTAGTCCAAGTGCTGCAAAATTATTCATTCTACCTTCAGTTCATCAATGCAAAAGCTAAATGCTTTAGTCCAAGTGCTGCAAAATTATTCATTCTACTTTCAGTTCATCGATGCAAAAGCTAAATGAACACACACACACACACACACACACACACACACACACACACCTCTCTTCCCAAAGATTACCTTCTCTCTCCTCAACAAACAGATCATAAACTTCATTTTCATCTCCACAAAAAATGATCACCAATATTTATAGCAAAATTCAATTTTTAACAGCTCACCAACAGGCTACTCAAAAACCCAGCAAAAATTAAACATCAGGAATTTCAAACTCGAATAATTGAAAAGGAACTTACATATAATCCAGCTTCTAAAACTTCATAACCAAAGAAACTGGAAAACCCCACAATCAAAATCACAAAACAGAGCAATAATTTTTTAAAAAAAAATTAAATTTTCTACCGGAACCACCAAATTGCAGCAAAATTCTGAGCACACGTACATAGTTCTAACTTCTAAGATTACAGAGTAAAGTAAATCCTTGAGTTTTTCAGCCAAAACAAAAGCAAAAGAGAAATTGGATATGTGCCAGTTTGTACCTGTTCAGAGGAAACAGTGCGAAGCCCTTAGATTTGGTAGGTAAAAATCCAAGTACAAGTAGATTTGAGAATGAAGATGCTTCTTTTTATGGAAGCTTGATCTGCTTCATGCAATTATGCAATGAAACGGTGCGGTGTCTCTGAAAAAGGAAGACGATTGGAATTTACTGGATAACAACACGTGTTGTGTTGTTATTTATCACATTGTCCAAGTAGAATTTTTTATTGTTTCCTTTATATTTAATATTTTTATTTTCGGGCCCAAAGGAGTATAGAATACAATACATAATGAGGTTAAATAGTCGCTTTCGAAAGAGAAAATAATAGTAAGCTTCGTAAAAATCCAACCACCAACACTTTAACTCATTAAATAATGTACACATCATGTGCCAGATCTAAACAAATGAAACGTTACTTCATTATTTAGAAGACCAGAATCTAGAATGTAAACTAACAACTGGGGTGGGAAGGACTACTTAACTAACATGATAATGGTTTTATTATAGTGTAAAATCGCATCGTAATTTTATTATAATATAAATGAATTGATAACATCGCATGACGACGGTGTCCAACTTGACATATTTTTTTGAAAAAGTGAGGTGGATGGAGAAACTACGATCTAATGTCGGAAAATAATATCTTATGAAAGTTGTAATTCATTCAACTCCCAAGGGATTTAAAAGGATATATCAATCCTTCATGAAAAAGGAAGAAGAAAAAATTCAAAATACCACGGCTGCGTGGCACTCGTTGATCCATGAGCATCATGCATGTTATACAACACGTGCTTGTCGGAAGTCTCCGAGAGGCTTCCCTTGGTGTTTAGTTTTTTTTTGGGCTTCCTTTGGTTTTAAGTTTAGACAGATTGGGATAATTTACAGGTAACTTCTGAAGGAATATAAAAATTCACACCCAAAGACTTTATTTCTAATTGAACCAAGGCCCAAAATGAAGAGAAATGCGATTGAAACCAAATAAGCCAAACACACACTTGTATCAATTTGCTACGCGCTGAAATATATATATAATATTTATAATATTAATATATATAATATACAAGTAAAACATTTTCGGGGGTCTTGTGTGATAGTGCCACTTGCACTATCTCAGGGCCGCCCTTGGGTGGAAAAATAGGATCGTATTTTTCAAATTTATATGGAGGGTGAAAAGATAAGTTCGATGAGGAAATAAGATGGACGATGAAAATAGCAGCACTCTATATGAAATATAAATCTTTATCCTTAATCACACCATTTATGCAAAAATAAGATATATACAATCCCCCGGATATCGTGGCCGTCATAATTAGTTATTAACATACTAGTTCCTATATCAAGAGTTTTAATTTGGTGGTTTGCTTGAGAATGAGGCTATACATAGGAAATTACCTAAAAAATCGGGGGACCTTCATTATGTTGTATATCTCCGAAACAAAAATACATAATATTTTGGAAAAATAGAATTACAATCTACCTATATATTGATTACTATGATTATGTTATGTATTTGCCTATATATTCATAGCATTGATCATACATTAATATTCTTCTGAGAAATCTTGATCATATATATCCTCGCTTATATTGTTGTGTCCTTCAAAAAAAGAAAAAGAATAAGAAAAAGATGACAGCATATGGTATTCAAGTATATGTACTTGTCATGAGTTTGATACTTGGTTGTTACTTGTCCCAATGCGTTACGTAAATATTATTTTTGTTATGAATGCATTGACCTGTGATAAAGTATATCTTTAAATATTCTATAATTTGGGAAGAAAAAAAAAACAACAAAAGAACAAACAAATAGCGAAAGATGCTACGCTTTTAATTTTGGAAGGAAAGCTTTGCACGAAAGTTTTCCTCTACTTGGGTTACATATATAGCATCATATATAATTGAAAGTTTTCCTAGCTACTGTGTACTAATGTGCTCTCTATGACTACATATACTGCTAACTCCAGGCACTTATATATTGCTTACAACACCCAAAGCTTACATGACAGGAGTCATTGGACGAAGAGGAGCTGAAGCAGGGTGGCCTAAGCAGCTCTGCGGGTGCTCATGGATATTTTGAGCAACATCATAAAATGAAGTTGAACCAAACTCCACCATATTGTTCTCACCTGCATTTTTCAAATTGGGTAGACTTCGAATTCGATACCTTTCAAATATACTCATCTTCAAATGTGATTGAGGCACCGAATTATTACCCGATATCACATCCATTGCTTTCTTCTCCACATCCTGGTGAGTCTCATTCACCTTGTTCCGATCACATTCATCATCGTCATCCTCCTCAGCCTCGCCAACATCCTCCTCATCATCTCCGTTTTCTACATCGACGGTTTGGAGGTCTTCGTCCATTTCAAGCTCTTCTTCATTTTCTTCATCACAACATGTTAGGGCACTGTCAAAACATGCTAGGGCATTGTCCAGAGGTACAAGGTTCAAAATAAGGCGGCCGTCCTCCCGGTGGGCTTCGAAGTACTCATGGTGCTTCACTCTCTCTCCTTTAAGGACAAGCCTTCCATTAGAGTGATCATAATGCTTGGTCAAAATCCAGGGCATACGACCTTGCAAGTTCCCAGTCTGTGCAAGCAATGGTATTGGTGGTGGATATTCTCTCTTGATCTTTTCACTCCTCTGAGTAGTAGTACTCCGGGTGCTCTTAGCTTCATTCCTACGACTCATGCTAAATTCTACTGTATTTTTCAAAAATCCTAATTTCTCTTGTTCCTCGGTTAGCATGATTGGGACGCCGCTCTCCGTACCAATCAGGTCGTCCATTGCAGAGGACGACCAAGATAAAGAGCTATCCATCATACAAGAAGAAGTGAGTGAAGACGATCCGGATGATGATGATGATGATGGTGCTGGTGAAACCTTATGGTTGTGAATAATGTGGGGGTGGTGATGATCTAAATTTTGAGAGTTTCTAGCTGCTTCCCAAAAATTTAGGGTTTTGAGCCCTAGTTCAAGATGATGATGGGTTGGGAATGCTTTTACCATTTGCATGGCAAATGGTAACCTGGTTGCCCACAGGAAAATCCCAAAAAGGGAGGAAATTATGGATTTAGCTCTACCAATATAGTTTGGATCACTACTCAAAGAATCCATGGTTCCACAGTCAAGATAACAAAAGGAGCTAGCGAGTTTAATGGCCAGCTTATGTAGGATACTTGTGGTTTTCTAGAAATTAACCTACCAACCCTTTGAAAAAAAAAAAAAAAAAAAAAAACCTACCAACCCAGTCATTAACCTGCAAGTAATTAAAGAAGAAGATATCAGAATAATGTGGCTATAGTAACAAATCGGGTATTTTAATTATAAATTTAATTATTATATATGAAGTTTTATCCAATTGGGTAAGAACAAGCTCTTTTGGTGGAATCAATTGCTTTTACCTCTTAACTGCATTTTGTCTGCTTTCATCAAACGTTCCTCTCTCTCTCTCTCTCTCTCTCTCTCTCTCTCTCTCTCTCTCTCTCTCTCTCTGTGGTTGGATTTTTCTCTTCCTGTTAATCTAATCTTAAGAAGGTTAATTAAGAAATATAACTTCAAATATATATAGAAAAAAAAAATCATTTTGAATGCAAGAGGCTGGATGAGGAATTCTAATATTATTTGCATAAACAAAAACTTTAATAGAATAAAAATACAGTCCGAATCCATGGAGGAAACAAAATCAAATAATCTCGTGCAGATTTTTTAAGGGCGTAAATAAATAAATGGAGATTATGAAGATTCAATTGCCAAAAATATATGCCGTTTACTATGTATGCAACAATAGACCATAAATCAAATTCTCATTCATTTCTATAAATTAAGCCAATAATTTAGGACAATTAAGTTAAAGAAAAAAGAAAGAAACAACTATGTCTGGTGATGAATGCACAATCCTTAGAAACAATAACAGATTAACCCATAAGGTGAGTTTGCTCATCAGTCAGAAAATTTGGCTTTAAGTGGATCAAGACTAGTTCAAATACAACTATTTTCCCTTCCCTCGTGTCGAGATTTCAAATATACATTATATATAAACAAAAACAAAACAGATCAAGTCGAACAAATATATATCTAGCCTACAGAAAGCAAAAACATTTAGCATAGATCGATATATAAAACACAATTAAGAGATTCAAATTAGTGAAATTAACAAGCTAATCAAAACACAAATTCAAATGCAGATTACATGATATATGTATATATATATATATATATATATGAGAGAGAAAACATAATAATTTTCTACTTACTTTATCAATGGCACTGGTGCATTATATTTAGTACATTTTCCCTGTGGCAGAGAAAGAGAGAAGAAACAGTGGACAGAGAGACCAAATGAGAAGAGAGAGAGCAACCATCTCTCGAGTATTTTTGCTAAACCCTTTATATATAGGAAAAACCTTAACTGAGCTGGATTACCTTAATTGCACAGAGAGGACCCTCCTGGCACCGTGACACACACACGCAATATTAAAGGTCACAAACGTCACTTCACACTCACCAAGAAACGGCTGCATTTTTTGCGGGATCGGCGAGGGGCTCGGCTCGTCTGGAACCGGCATGGCCTGCGATTGCTGTAACCGGCGCCAGAAGTGGCGCGTTTTGGGTCTGATCCCAGTGTCGTGTAGAATGTGATTGGTGGGGGCTTGGTGATAGCAGGGAGGGGGTTGCACATTTGATCATGGAGTGGGGCATGGATGAACTGAATTTGTCTGGTTTGGTATTCTCTGGCTTCCATTTTTTATGCCAGGTCTGCTCCTTTCTTGTTCAGCAGCCAGCTTATTAGACACGTAGAGAGAGAGAGAGAGAGAGAGAGAGAGAGAGGCCTTGTCTGGTGTTGTATCTCTGGCTTCCATGAATTCATGTAAGTTGTAACTCTCGTGTGACATATAAATTGTATCTCTGGTTCATTCTACAATGTCATTTCATGATAAGAACCGTTACTCTTCTAAGTCAACACTCCCTTAACAATAAGCGTTACAAGAAATTAGTCAAATTAGACAACATTGAGTTGTCTAATGGTGATAGAATAAAAAGATGAATACGATATTTTTTATGTACAATGAAAATATTCACAATAATGATCAAATTGTTAAGCAGTTTTCATTTGGCTTATTTTTGAAGAGATGTTCCAAACAAGTAGTTAATGTCGAAT